TATCGCGCATCCAGTATGGGAGAACAATAGCGGCTAACGGAATCGTAATTAGCGTCAGTTAACCGGGACGAGTAACGAGACGAGTCGATTCTATGGGATTTCATTGTCGGGAATAATGAGCGCTTCGTAGTAACCGCGGTTGCCCGACGAACGGACGGACAGCTCGAAATATCGTACGCTGAATATTGGCCGAGTGCCGGCGAGCGGCGCGTTAATGGAAACGCGGACTCGATTTATCGACAGATTACAGATCGTTTGCTCGCGCTCGTTACGCCGGCTCTGCGTCGCGCATTCGAAATCAAACGATCCGGCGACTCTATCCGTCACAGTGCGCGCTTTCGAAACTCGAAAGAAAGAGGGGGGAGAGAGAAAGATTTTTCGGAAAATTCGAACGTACCCCTGGAGGCGCTTGTTTCATCGTGATTTTCAGCGCACAGCGCGGTAACACGCTGACTAATCAGTGGGATAGAAAAAATGTTCACACGCTGCAGCAGAATGTGTCGGGAGAAAGAGGGAGGAAAGAGAGAAGGTTAGCCTACGCGGGAGAAACAAGCACGTTTGAAAATTAACGAAACGTGTTTAATTGAACACACGGGTTTCTTGTGAAATTAAACGGAATTTCTGGTTGTTGTAATGAAATATCGCACGTAACCAGAATATTTATGCGTGATAACTAGTCGAAGTTTTTCGTTGCTACGTATTTAGCGATAATATGCAAATGTTGGGTTATTATGACTGCACGGGAAAAGGAATACGGTTGAATTGACATGAAATGTATACCTAAATGAATTTAGTGGAACTAAAGAGAATTTTTGGTTATTATTGTAACCAGATATTCTGATACGCAACTAAAATATATAGGTGTGATACCGAGAGTTCTCTTACTGTACATGCAGCAATAATATCCAGCAAACGTTTGGTTATTGTCACTACGTGGGAAAAAGAGCATGGATGGTAACATTGGATAGATATATTTCGAGATATATAACTTTACGGTTATATACTACACACATACACACACACGCGCGCGCGCACGCACGCACACATCTGTCAGTTGAAAAAGTGGAATAGTACGTAAAATAGATGATTCACGGTCCTAGAATCAATCTCACTGAAATATAAGCATATTTTTCAAATATAATATACCGTTGAATCTCAAAAAATTAAATAGCAAATTTTTGGGCGATATATTACCATGCTAACACTAAAAAAAAATAAGTAATAACATTTCTGGCCAGAAATATGAATATAATTCTGTTACTATTATGCGCATCAAAGATTGTCCAGTTATTTTAAACACAACGCATGTACCCAAATTTGTCTAGTTACCTTAATAAAAATTATAAATCGTTCATATTCCACTGAACAGTCTGGTTCATATCTCCACATTTCATATTAATTCAACCAATCTTTTTCCCCTATAAGAAAATAAAGTGTCATAGCTCTCAGATGCACAATCAAATAGAAACGAGAAAAATCAATAAATGAGCTAACTAAATTAGCTAGAAACTGTATTATAAAAAAAAAAAAGAAAAAAAGAGCCGAACGAATTAGATTTTGCACCGGCTCTTATTGACTTTCTTTCGTTTTCCGCGGATGCAGTTGTTCCCGGACTTACTCCGTGAAATGCACACCCAGGAATTTCTCCCGCTCTCTTGGGATTTCATCACGTCGCGAGCGAGGGGACTAATCCAGGGTCGAAGAGGGCCCAATTTTATCCGAAGGTGAGACACCGCGGCGGCACATTGCATCTACGTACGTCAAATCCGAAAACATTGCCGAGAAGTTTTCCCCGAAGAGTTGGACGATATTTTCTACGTGCCTGCCAAAGAAATCCCCGACTTTCCGGGGACGCGGCTGCCGCTGACGACTGGCGAGCAAACGAAAGCGGGCGAGTGAGAACTTTCGTCGTTTCGAAAGGCCCCTCGATACGGGCGAGAGGGAGAACACGCCGTCTTGTACGTGATTTCGTTTCCGCCACCTCGGAACAGCGGCTTTCGCGTTCCCGTTAGACGAGTTTGCCGCGGACACTAATGTAACGTCCTTGATACCGGCAAAATAATGATACCTTCGGGTAACCCGGGTCGAAATATCGGCCTTATGTTAAACCTTCGATTCTACGACACAATAGGAACTAAGATAGCAAAACAGGTTCAATTTAACAAGAGAGAAATAACTTCCCGGCGTAGCAAATCTCATGCTATCGCAGCAAACTCTGTCGATTGCTGCACGGACGACAAAATGATTTGTTAAGTATACTAATTGCCATTCGCTGGACATATTTTGCTGCATCTGCAAATTATTTTGCTGCAGGAACAAATTGGTAGCAGATGTAGCGAAACATTATTTTGTTCTAACAGCAAATAAATGTATCCTAGAGACAAATTCACACAACGACATTTTTCTGTTCTGGTAACAAAACAGTTTCTGCTCTGGGTATGAATATTTCGCTAATTTGGTTATGCCAAAGAAAACTTTGCCGCTATCGCAACTAACATGCGGTAGCAACGATGATTTGGCTAAACAAAATTACTTTTCTCCGTGTAATGATAAATTTATTCCAATCAGCGCGGTCTCGCACTTCTTCATTCGACAGCGCTAAATTTTCAAACGTTGACGTCTCCGAGAGAAACACAAGCGGTCGCGTTGGCGCACTGTGTGCATCGTCGAAGCGCGCGCGCGCGCGCCGCTAAAAGAATTTTCTCAGACAAATCTTCTTGCGTGCTCTATCCTCGTTCCGTAGTCGTTCGTCGAGCGTGACTTCACGACGTTCATTCACGGGAGTCATTCGCTTAAATCACGAATTTCACCGTCAGGCAGCGCAAAGTATGGGGGGAGGGGGAGAAAGAAGACGCTTGACAAATGTCATCCGCGCGCATCGTTTTAATTTCACACAAATTTAAATTAGAAATTAATCGCTCGCAATAACGCGCCGTAATATACGATGAATGATAATAACGACATAATGATACACACATCGTAATACAAATTGCCACGGTAATACAATAGAGAATCAAGTGAGCGAAACAATAGGAAGTAGCCGAAAATAGAACTCGCGGTGCGCTATCAGCCGCGCGCGATCGCGAGACGCGTTATTTCGCGGAATCCTCCCCCTCCCTCGAGTCATCGCTATTTCAGCATCGGTCTCTGCCTCGCGCGCCGACTAGACAAAGCCCGTTTAAACCTTGTAGACTCATTTTCGCTCGGTATTGTAACGCGACATTCGTCGCGCTACGAGGTACGCCGGTACACGTCGCGAGGTCGCGATACATAATGAAGACTAATAGCGGCACTGTCGCAACTGCAAATGTCGGGACACTTAATGCCATGCGAAAATGGGCCTTTAACTGATGATGACTCGGAAACCTTGTAAAGAGCATTCGTGCGCTCGTTTCTCGACACGTTGCCGCTGCTCCTTTCGCGTTAACTTTCCTCTTCCTTGCCTCTGTGCAAAACTGATTCATCTTGCGAGTTCCGTGCAAGCCGGTCGTCTTAAATATCCTCTTATGTGGCGTTAATCACAATTATGTAACACGCTGGAAAAAACGAAGCGAAGAAGAAGAAAGCCTCCCTCTTTCCCTCCTCGGCAGGATTCCTCTTCGACGGGTGAGGACTGCGACGGAAGTGATGAGGGTTCGCCGATTGAATTGTCCGATCTTTCTCAGCGCTTTATATTAATACACATCTCTTGACGATCTTTGGAGACGTAAAAACAAAAGGAAGCTTCTCTTCGTCTGCTCGCAGCCGACTCGACTTGAGTTAGCCAGTCTAAGAAACAAAGACCATTTCCGATCGAAACGGCACAAGGAATAGACAAAGCATTACATCGCCGAAGACAAACACAGATTCACCTCGCATTAGAGTATAATAAAGGCAGTGAGGCAGACCGAATCAAAATGTCACTCTCAAGCTTTTAAGGTAGACGGTTTGTAAATTTATTTATTATAAATTTATTTTCTTAGAAATCTTAACAGCGTATTAATCGAAACACGATTTATAAGTATGTAAAATTAGAAAAAGACTGACCGTACCAAAACTGAGATGACTGAAATCGAATAGCACTATTTACATGTATCACAGGTCTGAAAGAAAACGACTTCCGATATCGCATTTTTAATTCTAGCGATCAAACTACTTTTACGATTTCAAACGATGGAAAACAAGAAGAGGATAAAGAAGACTCGTAGAAATATCATGGAAAATTAAAAGATCGTTGACCACATAATTTTCCAGAAATTGATATATAAAGCATATATTAGGTAAGAAAGTTATGTCGTTTTTTTTTTAGGAAATTTCAATTTCTTATATTTAAGCTCATAAGTGAGATTAATTAATAAAATATCGACCACTGTTTTCTATGACCTTCCTCCATCTGTCAACAAGGTCATTTATGCCGGATGTATAAAAGATCCTATCCTTTGAAGCCAGGAAATCTACCACTACCCTCTGAACATCTTGAAAATTTCGACATTTTTTTCCTTTAAGAAAATTTTGCATCGAGAGGAACAAGTGGTAGTCAGATGGTGTCAGGTCAGGTGAGTATGATGAATGTGATAAAACTTCATAACCAAGAGCCTGGGGCTTCTCCTTCGTCCTTAAGCCAGGTGAGGCCTGGTATTGTCATGTTGGAAGACAACACCTTTCCGATTATACAGTGCTGGACGAAGTTCACGTATTTTTGTATCCAGTGGGGTTAGCTGATCACAATATAGGTCTGCTGTAACAGTTTGATCTGGTTGCAACAGTTCCCAGTGGATAGGACAATCGACAATGCCACTAAATGCAAAGCATTAGCTTTTTTTGATGCAAATTGGTAGGGGACGCAAGAGTAGGAGGCGAACTGCCTGGCATTACCTTGGCTCTTTTCCTCACTACATTGTCATAAACAATCCACTTTTCGTCACCAGTATACCAGGCAATCCAAGAATGGTTCATATTGTTGTCGAGCAAGCAAAAAAGAAGCAATAGAAATTCGATCTACCATATTTTCTTCGCTTAATTCACGGGGAATCCAACGACACCATTTGTAGACAGCCAAGCTTGTTCAAGTGGTTTTCAATTATTATGTGGCTAACGTTTAATTTATCTCCGATCTCCCTCGTAGTCAATAGTAGTTCATTACCCACTAAAACCCTCAGAACGTCGTCATCAAGCTCCTTTGGTCTTCCGGTGCAAGATTCATCTTGAAGCTTCATGTCACCCGACCTGAATTTTTCAAACCATCTTTGGACCGTACGCACTTTAACTTTAGATGGTCCAAAGCCGGAAAACAAATTTTTATGAGTTTCCGTCGCATTATGACCAAGTTGGAACTCATAAAGCATAGAGTGCCTAAAATGAAGTTTTTCTTGATCCATCATATACCCGTATTTCTCAAAATTTAATGATTAAAGAACACCTGTAATATCAAAAATCAAAACGTGGAATTACCAGCTTTCGATTAATACCAAAATTGTCTAAATCGCACAAAGAACAATGAAATAATGAACATTTCAATTGGAGCAACAGAAAAACGACATTACTTTCTTACCAAACTAATAATTTCTGATAACGATTGAAGTAGATAACAGCTATCCTGTAAATATTTGGCAATATTCTATGCACTTCTATTTTACTTTGTGTCTCTGATTAAGCTTTAAAGATAGAACAGTTAAATAACTTTGAGGCTCTATAATCAATACATAAAAATGTGAAGAATACCAAAATATGGAAAAATCCGAGGTCACGATTATTTCTCTAATAGCGCGCATTCGTGTATGTTTATTAGGATATATATAATATATTTACATAAACATAAAATTCCTGACACAGGCAATCCTAGTCAAAAGTATTATATGCCAAAACGCGAAACACGATTATTTCTTTACGAGTTAAACATTATGTAAGTTTCATTGATATTTTCTCGTTATAGTGTCAAAGCTATATAAGTGTCTATATATCATATTTATTATATATTTATAGACATTTAGCACAAGTTTATTGTGTCTCTTCATACTATATTAATCATTCTTTTTCTAACAGAATTGTCACGGATCAAATATTATACGAATAGTTCGTACCTACTTAGATGTCTCCTGTAAACTAATAAAAATCTACTCTAACGATACTGACGTTTATTAACTTTACTCTCATAAACTTTTACTTCTACAGATTTAATTTTAATGTTATTTTGAACCTATTTTACAACAATCCATTTTAACGCCCAAACAGGGGAATGGAAATTTAAGACGTCATCAAGGCCAAAGTAGGTATAAATTATATTATTAGAATTGAAATTGAACACATTGTGCTATTTTAGTTCTTATTGTGTTACGATTAAAGGTTTAACATAGAGTCAAAATTTCAAATCGCGGGATAGCACTCTGAGAAGCATAAAGTCACCGCGAAAGAACTTGATAATTAAGCAGAAACAAGCGGTACAATTTAGAGAACTTCATTTCAACTAGTTCGGCATTCGAAATTAGTTTTATTGAGCATCAAAAATGAATTTTTGCCGTTAAAGTCGTGCTTCGTTCAAACGTCCCAAGCTCTCTCTCATAACTGTTTCGGTGAATTTGTAAATAACTTTAATTGCTGCGATTATAGAATATAGATTATAGAATATAGATTATAGATTATAAACAGTTAATCTTGAAACTACCGTCTAAATGAATTTAGCAGGAAATCTAATAAACCACTAAGAATCTAACATTTCGGACACCTGACAAAGGAAAAAAACGAGAACTCAACTTGAAATTTTGATGCTTCTTTGACGTTCTTAAAATAGTTAAGAGGTCCTTACTTAAATCTATTATTTGCTGAAAAAAATATTTTCCTATAATTTCATTTAATTATCTAAATGATAATTGTAAATTTCCGAAATTAATTAATAAAAGTCAGAGAAATATACACAATATTATGAAAACGGAGATATTATTTATTTTTTATTTTTCTTGTTAATGCTTTATTTATACATCAAAATTAATAGAAGTACACGCATAATAGAGAATAATACATAAATACTGAAATATATGCTTATGTACATATATCGCGGATATTATTGTTAATTATAAATTTTCTATGGTTATATTTTCAAAACACAATGGCCAATAATTCTGAAACTTTTATATAATGTCTTTACACTAGCTTAGTCCTTAATATCACAGTAGTTTTTCATTAAAATCCTAAAAAATTAAAAATAATTTAAAAAATTAGAAAAAATGAAAATTAAAAAAATTAAAAATAGAGGTTAAAATGGGATATTATAAAGATACATATATATTAGGTTTACCGGAAAATTCTGTCCATTTTTTAATTAAAAGAAAATACATTTTCAGTACATTTATTAATATTTACTGAACAATATAATTTCCATTGTTACTAATAACCTTTTCCCAGCGTGATGGTAATTTGTGGATTCCATTTCTGTAGAATGACTCACCTTTGGAGGACTTGAGATGGCATTATCAGATAAAACTTTCCGGTAGATCTAATATATATATATTTATTTATTTATTTATTTATTTATTTATTTATAATCTCAAGAAATATATATTTAAAAAATGTATAAAAAGTGAGCTTTAGTTACGAATACCTCAGTTTTCGAATTATTTCAGTCATATCTCAGTTATCGTTAGAGTAGATTTTTCGAATAGTCAATAGTTTTCTAATTGCGTCAATAATTAGGCCATATTTTTAAATCTGTATATAATAAAAGTTTCAACGAAATAAAAACTTTTAAAAAACTTATTTTACATTACAACTATCTTAAGCACAATTTGCGCCTACTTGGGTGGCCTTATGGACTAATAAAACCTGCTTTGACGATATTACAGTTGTTAACTTCTATACTTTTTAATTCTACAGATTAAATTTCAACGCTATTTTGAAATAACCTACTTTCATACTAAAACAGCAAAGACGGAAATTTAAAACATCACCATGGCGAAAATAGTAATTACATAATTAGAATTTAACCTATTTTGCCATCTTAGACCCTACTATATCATAAAATTAAATTCTTAACATAGGGCAAATTTCGACTGGGAAAAAATACAGTACAATTTTAAAGCGGCAAGTTCGTACGAGGGTCCCTCAGCCAGCTCGGCAATTTTCAATGACGGCAGTTCACGCGCAATCGGGCAAAATGACGAGAGCCGGCCGATCGAATTATACATATTTCCGCGGCCAATAAGTTAATTAAATACATTCCCCGGTAGCGTGACTGCGCGCGTATACGTGTCCCGTGTTGCGAAGAGGATACGTGTCGGCCGAGCGGATCATACGCTATCTGTTCGCCCGACGACGACGGCGGCGGCGGGCAAGAGAACGCTCGCATACACGTGCGTGCGTCATCATGAGATATCGGCGTGCCGCCGAACTGTCTGTCAAGCCAAGTTGACGGCGGCGCGTTTCTATGTACGAGAGAGAGAGAGAGAGAGCCGATTTTACACACACGCGGAGTCTGCTCACGTGTTCACGCACGATAGAGCGCGAAACCAGATGGTGAGTAAGAAAGAGAGGGGGAGAGAGAAAGAGAGAGAGAGAGCGAGAGATTCGCCGAGGACGGCGAGGGAGGAGAAAATCGCGAGACGTCAGAGGAAAAGAGACAGGGGAGGGTGGAGGGAGCAGGAGGAGGGTCGGAGAGTACGAGACGGAGATTAGGTCGTGCGGTAGCACGCATGTGTATATCCCGCATCATCGCTATACATAGATCGAAACGCGCTCGTCGCGAGGCTCAGCGCGCCGGAATTAGTATGTTACGACACACGCGCGCGCGCCCGCGTTGCACTTTTTTCCTCCTTTCTCACCCCCTCGTCCATCCCGCCGCTGCTCTCTCACTCTCACCTCGGCGTTGTCGTCTTTTTTCAGGGTCTACTCTGCGCGTGCCCTGCGCGGCACTCGCGAATCGACAGCTGGTGGAAATTACGATGAATGCTGGGCCGCGTACAATATATTTTTTCGGTGCATCGTATTTTTTTTCTAACATTTCAAGATCAATCGATACGTCGGAGGGGAGATGGTGATGATGATAATGATAAATGGCGTTTATTGATTTTCTTCGGGGAAACTCTGTCTCTCTCAGGACATTTGGTATGTAGCGTTACGTGCTATAACAGAGTATACATGACATAAAAAATAAAATGGTATAAAAGTAAAATTAAAATAAAATACGATGTGTGTGAGAGGGTGGAATGGGGGGGGGGGGGGGGGNTGGGGGGGGGGGGAGTGCGTTATTCATTACACGCTTTGGGAAGAGATCTTCGTGAGCAGTAGATAACGAACCGATATGAGAGATAAGAAACAGATAAGAAGCTAGATAGATAAGAAACATCAAAAGACAAATATAGAAGTGAGAAAGAACAATGTAATGCTTACACGTGCATGAAGACATTTTGAACAAAAAAGTCCTTTACCATTTTGCAAATAACATGTAAATTTTTGAGTTATTAATTAAACAAGCCTGCGAACATGGCCATATTAAATAATTACTAATACAAAATTTTGCATGTTGTTTATAAAATAGTGGACTTTTTTCTTTACATCCAACCGTTCTACGCCTTCACAAAATCTGTTACCGTTGAAAATAGCCATGTATAGAAGCCATATAGAGGATTCTTCAATTAATAATTCGAAAATTTACGTGTTATTCGCAAAATGATACCTTTTTTTTGTTCATAATGACCTAATCTGCAAGTTGTGATACTGGCACGACAGACATACATTGAACCTTGAACCTGTCGCTAGCTAACAGCTGTCGTATACTTGTAAATTATGCCACTCTAAACAAAAAAGTTCTTTACCATTTTGCAAATAACACACAAATTTTTTTAGTTATTAATTAAATAACAGGCCTCTGTACATGGCCATTTTCAATAATTACTCGAAATTTTGCATGTTNTTCCCCCCCCCCCCCCCTATCTTGTTCACCTACAACCGTTCCTTCGCAAAGTTTGCGTCTCTGTTGATCTGGGGCACCCTGCATATTTGCTTCAGTCTAAAGATAAAAAGTGCAATCTAGTTCGCGGCTAAGACGAATGAACGTATTAGCAGAGGGAAGATCGAGACTCCAAGATTAAACATTAAAAATCGTACGATAGACAAAAATAGAAAGAAAGAGATGGGGAGGTGAGGGGTCGAACGTACGACGATGAAATAATCGACGATAAAATCGTCAGGCGCCGGGCTGTCCGGTTTTTTTTTTTCATCATCTGTTCACCCGTCGTCGTAATAAAGCACGCGTAACACGCGGTAATACCCATGATGCACCGAGTAGAGGCGTACGTGAAGGACACCGCGGTGAATTCGCTTCGCGCCGGAAAGAGTCCTCCTCGCGCGGCCACGTATGAAATACGAGGAACGCGCGCGACGACCGAGCGACGCTCGTCGTTAACGTCGCGTGTCGTTACGCGAGCGAGCGAGCGAGCGAGTTACGTAACACGCGCGCGCGCGCGCGCGACGCTTATCTTCGCGAGCGGCTCGCGGGCGATTACGCGCGCACGCCGGTAATTGTAACGCGACACGCTAAATTTGACCGTGGAGCTGCACCCCCCCTCCCCCGCCCCCTCACTCTCCCTCGAATAATCGCGAAAATATCGGCGAAATGGACTTTCGGTGTAACGCGCGCGCGCGCCCGTTCGCGCAAGGTGATCCCCGCATTCGTCAACCGAGCAGCTCTCTTCCGTCCCCCGCCTGCACATGACCCCTTCGAACGATCGCGCGCTCTCTTTCCCCCCTTCGCTCCTCCGCGCGATCAGCGGCGGAAGCCGCATTTTTGCGGCGATCAATTCCCGGGATCGCGCGCTGTTTCGATTAACCGCCCGGAGGAAAATTCTCCCGCCTGGGCTGTGTGCAAGGCCGCGCCCCGCTCCGCTGCATTACGTGACGATGCGAGAGGAGGGCAATTATGCCGCCGGACGGTGGGAACTTGTCGCGGGAGCCCGATCGAAGTGTAATCGAATCGCGACTCGGACAGCCCCCCGGGTTGAAATTTCGATGCCACTTTGACGCGCTCAACACTTTAAACCTACCACGACCGGTCAGACGACCGGGTTCTTCTCATAAAAATTACTCCAATTTCTGAATGATGCATTCTCCGAGATTTCCCGTAATTTGGGTGACAATGTGTAAACGAACGAATATTTGTTTTCCTTTGGATTGGATGTGTTTTCTTCAAAAATCGCACTTAAACCCGCTTCGGTAGGAAAGATACACGTTAGTCGTCGGTAGTTTTAGCGCTGAGAATAGTTCGCGTCCACTCACACACGACCTCTGTAGATTAGCGAAAACCTACTTCGACGCTTGTTATGTTCATTGTATTTCATTGGTATTGAACGCTTGTTGATTTCCTTCTGGAACCTTTAATTCTACAAATTTAATATCAATCCTGAGAATATAAAACAAACGCGATTTTAAGAGGATGCCGGAGTAATCGGTGATTACCGACACACATCAGAGGTCCCGCTATTCCCCGAAATGGCTTTGCAAAATTTAGGGCCCTTTCACACGCGTAAAATATACACGCTTGCAAAATGCGTGATGGTGAACGGGAGATTAAGAATGAAAGAAAATTCAAAAAGCGCACACAGTGCTGCACTGTTAAGCGCGGCACAGCCGTCAAAAGTCATGCAAACGTTCGTTTAATATATAAGTTGTACATACATGCAAAAATGACTGTAGCCCGCACATTAGACTGAACTAAGAAACAACGGTGTATTAACAAAACTAAGACTAAAGGCTTGATAAGAAAGTATGGTGGTTGAACGGGTCTTATGCATCTACACGCGCGTAGTGTAGATATAAGATAATAAGTGGATAAGATAATAAATGGAACAGTAATAGTGTAGAAATCTCTCTCTTTCTCTCTCTTGTATTATTTACTTGTTCCACCGCATTTTCCTATATACTTTTATAATCCTCCCGCGTCACATTAAAAATGTCAAGAATTTTAGTTCCTTTTAGGTGAGAGCGCTTCTCCGTCGAAGTTCGGCTGTCGATCCGGTATCTCCTTAACATTCAAGCAACACCATTGGTCTTTAACGCTTACATCATTAAGAAAATAGTAAAAATCATGGTTTTTTAGATCTTTATCTTTCGTGTATTATTAATTTTATTGCCAATTTATTTACTGCCTTTGTAAACAAGACTGCCATCAGGAGTCCAGTTGTTTCATTGGATCAGACTGGATAATAATAATCGTCACGTGGGCCCAAATATTTTTTTCTTAATAATAAAGAGCAGAAGTGAGGTATGGCAAGGCACCATACCTCACTTCTACTCTTTATTATTAAGAAAAAAATATGGAAACGTAGAAAAAAAAGTAAGTGAAAAAAAAACACATTTAGACTTCTTAAATCTAACATGTTACTGTCAGGCATTATCAGGTTAATGTTATCTTGAACAACTTGTTTGACGCCAAAAATAAGAAATGAAAAACAGAAATTTAAGACACCATTATACGGTCAAAAAGTAGGGATAAATTATATAATTGGAATCTATTTTGATATCTCTTAGCTCCTCTGTATCGTACATCAGGCTGCTGTATCGTAGATTAAATTTTTAAAGAACTTGTTTCCTCGTCGCAGTCGCTTGTGAATAATGACGTTAGTAGCAAGAAGACATGTGACCAAAATTCTTGCAGAATACGTTGAAATAAAAGGATATATTCACAAAATAATATTTGCGATTATTTATGGAACCGTCAAATTAACATGACAATTTTTTTTTTAGTCTTCTTTCATGATTTTGTCGCGTTAATCTTATGACTATTTTTTGATTGTCAAAGTAAAAGGCAAGTGTTCGAAATATTTTGCAATATGCTCGATCCATCTTAAGTGTCATTTTATATATATATATCCTTTCATTTCGACATATTTCACAAGAATGTCAAACATACATTTTCCCGCTTCTGATGTCACCAAAACACGACAATTGTGGCGAGAGACTAAAAATTTGAAGGACGGTCCTGTGTCGATAGGGTATAGACTAATATAATCCTACTTTGACGATAATGACACTTAATTGACATTAATTTCTCTCTTGAACCTATAATTCTATAGATATTTAATTTTAAACACTACCTTGAACAGCTTATTACGATGTTAAAAATAACGGAAATTTAAAACGTCATTACATGGCCAAAGGGTAATAGTAAATTATATAATTAGAACCTATTTTGCTGTCTTAGCTCACCACTATTACAGAACTAAAGTCTTAACACAGGGCCGCGGAATTTCGACTCGAGTCTCGAGAAAAAGTGCATCCTTCTGCGGAGACGCGCGAAATCTAAGAAATTCTCGCGCGCGTCGCGAAAATGCGGACTCGACGTTTTCGCCAGCGCATTCCTCGCCACGACTCGATTCGACTTCGAAGAAGGAAAGAGCTTCTCTCTCTCTCTTCCTCTCTTTCCCTCATTCAAACGGCATTTTCAGAACACGAGCGAAGATAACTCATTCCGAAAGTGGACCCTATAACTTTCCACCTCGGACAATATCGAATAAGTTCGGCCGATATTATTGCCGGGCGTGCGCGCGCACTGCCGAGAGAGAGAGAGAGTGAGCGCAGAAAGGTTTGCAGCCGCGCGTATCCTATCATTTAGAATATGAAACGTCCCGCATGCCGTGCCGGAATTTACGAGCGAACTTTGTAGAGCGGCATAGCCGGTTAACTTGACGTGTATCACGGACGTCTCTCGCCGTAGTCACGCGTGCGTTTCGTTATTAACTCTTTCCAGCCCACTAGTACCATATGGCACTAGTTGGCACCCGTACTGCGACACGCAGTTTATTTTCGGCGATAAATTTGCCGTACGGACGGACGTACGTACGTACGTACGGAAGCCGCGACGCCGACGGAGAGACATTCGCTCCGTCGTCGTCGTGCATCAGCATGACTGTATCTACCAGCACCGGCCATACATATCTCCCGATGCGCTGTGGCCGATAATCGCCCGCTTTATAAACCCTGAGCGCTCGCTAATCAGCCGCGACAGCCACGNCCCCCCCCCCCCCTCCTCTGACGTCGTGCCAACCAATGTTACGGCGAATTCGGCCGCTCGCAGTGCGCGCTAAGGCTCACTCCGACGTCCGTTCATCTTATATTTAAGGTTGTCTTAAAGGGATATCGAAGTGCCAGAATTCACCCGGAATATTTCGGGAACGATATTCTCGTTTCTGGCTACGTAGAATTATAAGTCTCTTCGCACAACGATAATACGTACGTTAATGTAGCTCGGGCTGCGTCGACTTTATGCCGGAAACAAAAAAGTTCAAGAATTGCAGTTCTTTTTGCCGGTTCTTATTTCGGTACGGCTTTTAGAGCTGTTAATCAAAGATAATATTTGCTTCTTGTATGAAAGTTTTGCGGATTACCCGAACAAAGAAGAATCAGGCTGGGATACAAACTGCGCTGTATAATAATAATAATAAATTCCATCTATCTTCATTGACGAATTATTATTTTTAAACTAAAGAAAAAATTACAAATCTGGCTACTGTGATAAGAGAGTGATACAATTTTTTTCCGAAAGAGTCTTGTAACACAACTGTGCAACGCGGAGATAAGCGGTATAGTTGGTGTCACGTATGCTGTACCATTCCCTAGACGGAAATTTGCCACTATTACACAACTTTTAGCCTTTCACATGCATAAGGTATTAAAATTAGAGTCAATATTACCCTATTATTATAATTAGAGTTATATTTCAACTTTATCGGTTATGCGTACAGCTGAAAAACTAGAGTTTTCCATCTAAGAAATGAAACAGCATACATACACACACAATGCCGACCGTATTCGGCGAGACAGGAGGGGGTCGCTAGGTCGGAGATTTCTTATTTTTCCGAAATCTCCCGCGTGTCGTTCGCGCTGTTCACGTCAGTCTATCTTTTGCCAGCACGGCAGGTTTCTATTTCACGTGCTCTTTCCTTTTCTCTCTCTCTCTCTTTCTCGCGTCGCGCCACGATTGTTCGCAATTCTCAATAGCGCTGCGAGGTTCGGGACTGGTGGTTTTGACGCCAAAGAAAGGCGTGAATTATCGTAAAGAACCCGTACGCGTGTGACGGATATGCGGGCTGTCTGCTTCGGAAACTCTATATAGGTTCTTCATAATTTCTTCCTACGTGGCTCACGCGCTCTATTCTTCGGCGGCTCGTTTCTTTCGGTCGAACGCGTCGACGCCGCCGCCGATCTGTCCGTCCGGCTTGTCGCTTTGTCTCCTTTCCGCTCGTCGTGTCGTAGCTTCGGCGCTTTCGACGTCGTTTAAGGCTTTCGCACACTCGAATTGCTGTAACTGTAAACATAAGACGTAAATTTAGACTGAAGAACCAATCAGGATATTACCTTAGATTTATGTACTCTAGAAGAAAATAGAACACACACACATACTCTCTCTCTCTCTCTCTCTAACAGTAAATCTGATTGTAAGCAAAAGTAACTAGGATTTGGTAAGTTGGAATTCTAGTTACTTGGTCTTAATCCTAATTACACCGTCGCTCCCATCTTCTTCTAGAGTACACAAACCAAAAGCAATATCCTGATTGGTTCTTCAGTTCTTAAGTTTACACCTTATGTTTGCGATTACTCAATTCGTGTGTAAAAGTCCTTACGCGAGTGCATCGAGTATATCCGCTGTTCAAATCGTAACAAACTGGCACGACCCGAAATTGTATAATGCTACTTTGACACTCTCTAAAGGGGTTTCCTATCTAGACGACAAACTTTTAGACGAAATTTGATATTTTTTTGTTTAAGTTACTGAACTTATGAATATAAAAGTTGGTAGACATATATTTAATTATATTTAAATAACATTTGCGTGTTTTTATAAATCTCTATACTTGATCATTTAAGTGTTACACAAGTCATTTTGTGATCCGTTATGGAACATCCTTTGTTTTATAAAGGTGCTCTCAAAGAAAAAAATGTTAAAAAATAAAAAATATCCGGTAGGTATTAATAACATATTTATTTTTCAATTTGAATTCTTTTATTTAAATATAATAAATAATTGCTTCCATTTAAAAAAATCACAGATTTAAGGAAAAGTTTATTTTCTCATTTGGAAAAAATATTTTCCAGTGTAAAAATATGTACATTACTATAAGTAAATATGTTAATATTCGAATAAATATTTTTTTACTTTTTAGACTTTTTTTTCTCTCAGCGAGGACACAAGATTAGAGCTTTCACTTTATATAAAACACGAAAATCAACCAAATTTTTCATCTATACGAATATGGCAATCGTCTGAAACAAAATAAACGAAGATTTAATAAAATGGCGACACTTTTTTAAAACGAAATATTCGATAACAAAAATCAAACTTTTCGTTTTAAAGTATCGCTATTCTGTTAAAATCGTAAATTTCTTGTTTATTTTGGCCCAAGCGATAGTCATATTTGTATGGATAATGATTTCTTTGCTTT